TAGAAAGTATTTTATATTTAATTTGAAGAATAATTAAACTTTAGGGATGGTGGAGGAGTTAAAATTAAGTAGGGGACTAGCATAAATTTTTGGCCAAACTTTAGGATTTAAAAATGAATTTTCAACATTTAATACCAACTCCCCATTCCCAAATCCATTTTCACGTCAGAGAGGGATGCTGGTTTCGAAATAAAACTTGGGTATAAGGATTTCCAAATTGGGTTTTACATTTTGATGATTTCCAACCAAAATTGAAGCCGGGGGAGGAAGTCTAATGACAATGGTGGTTCGTGCGACAGTGTTCCAGGCGAGAGAGGGAGAATAGAGGTTGGGGGGGTTAGGACAACCACGATTAACCGAAATAAAAGCAAGTAACTTTACCGATAATGCTTCCGACCATTTCAAGATGACAATCGTTTATCACATCAATATCCAACATTTAGATTAACCTAAATTTCTACCATAGCTCAATGTAAGATTCACCACTTAGGTTGGGAGGTCAAAGACTAACACCATATAGAGATTTTAAACTTCAATGACCCAATGAACCATTATGAGAGAACTATTTCAAACTATTGATGCAAATGCAATGACAATGTAAATAGCAAGTAATACATGAATCATATTGGCCAAGGGTGTAAAGTGAAGTTTGGGGTGTTACACAAGATGTCATTATAAAGATATAATGATGTTAAGAGAGATGCTGCTAGTTGGATAAGATAATTATGATAGCATATTACAACAACTTGAAGGTGGTACCTATTTAGGATTAGTTGAGTGTCAACTTAGATGGTTATGTATCTTGTGTAGATTTAAAAAGAAGCTCCTGAGTGATAAAAATCAAAATTTTTTAAGCACAATAATCGGCCCAAGTGCTATGTTTACCCAAAGCTTTGCTACTTCAGGTCTTATGTTGGATCTTCAAGTAGATGTAAAGATGGACTGACCAGAGTGGCAAAATGGATACATGTAACCAACTCTAATTTTTTTTTTTTGGAATAAGACTTAGGCTATTGTAGTAATCCTACATTGTTGTATGCATTTTTAAATTATTACCCTATCTATGGAATATTACATTGATTTTTATTTTTAGTAGTTTGTTAAGGTGAGCATTATACTATCGAGTGTATCAATTTTTCCCCTTTCTCCTTTCAAGGAAATTTTGAGTTATGAAAAGGTCTAAGGAAAATGTTTTAAACAACGACGAACATGCCAGATAATTCCGATACCAATTTGTTGTGATAATAGACGAGAAAATAATATGAGACAATGAAGTAATTGATCACAAAGTTAAGAATAAAATAATTAGCAGAGATGGAGATTTTACTAAAATATGAAGAAAGAATTACAACGATTTTGTGTTTACAACTTTGTTTAACTTAATCTAAAATACAATGAAGAGCTCAATATATATAAGGGACGTTTCGAACCCTAAAAGCAGAGTTATAGATGGAAAATAATGTTCAAAACGTGTAAAATGCGAAAACGGGCTCGGGCTGGATGAATATGGCGCTCGAGCGCCAGGCGGGCTACATTGGGCGCTTGAGCTCCACTCTAGCGCCGGCGAGCATAATTGCGCCGAAAGTCCTCCCTGGTCCATATTTAGATCTTTTCAAGTCTAACACAATTTTCAACTCCCAATTAAGCTTCCAAATAGAACTTCAACTAGAATTTGCTTAATAGATTTCGAATAGGATTTCAAAAGTATTCCAACAAATAGAATTCCTCTTAATGTTGACCTTAATTAGAATTTTAAATCATCTTCAAAATAAAATTGGGGTCACGCCTTAATTCTAACAGAAAATATTCAAAAATTAAGTGTGTTCTTCTGTTGCCCTTAACCTAACAATCAGACACCTTAATTCATTTCTAAATAAATTTGGTATTAGAATGGTTTTCACCTTTTTTTTTTTGATGAAACTGTCACCTAAGATTTTGACAAACAGGATTTTTATACAAATTGTTCAATGAATATACTGTCAGACAAAAAGAGTTGTATATTTTTACCAGGTACTCGCTCTAATTTTTTATGCAGAGGTTCGGGCCAATTGCTTATGGCACGGATTATAATTTTTTTTTGTTTACCAGCAATGAAAATGACAACATTATGAAGGGACGATTGACGAAGTTGATATTTTTATATATTGGAACTTTTGTGCCCGACTAGTTCTGAAGTTATTGTATGAACTGTTTGTTGAGTTCCCTAACTACTGCCAGGTATTGCAGTTGAAAGTTCAAAACACCATATTCTGGTTATGCTGGGTTTTGAGACCTTTATTGTTCACTGGCAATCATTATAGAGATCTGGATTTTTACTTATTTAGGGAGAATAGTGTAAACAGTCCAAAATCTGTTGGAAAAGCTGAATTTCTTCATGTTAGTGCTTATATGCCATGAAGTTTATAAGCTAATATTATATCTCTTGGAGGAAATGTTTTCTGCTGTACATCTCTCTTCTATTATTTGTTGTTGTTTCCCAGAAAGCTTGTTCATTTGATTTGGTGCGAACTTGTGCTTCTTTTTCTATCGATGTTATGTTAAATCCTCGTGTAAGATGTTTATCTCAGAGTTTGTGCTGCTGAGTTCTGATTAATGTTTTACTATAGTTACATGCTTGTTTGATTGATGTCAACTAATGTTCCATACTGCTCTAAAATTACATCATCTTTACTACTATTTCTTTAGTTCCTTGCTTATCTTTTTATCAGAAAAAAAAACTTTCGTGGGACTTATAAATAATTGAATTTACCTGCTGCATCTAATCTTTCTAGCTATGTAAAATAAGAAGAAGAATCAAACAATAAGTTTATGAAGCAAACGAGTTGAATAGTAGATATCTTTTGTGTCCCGTATCTGTATTATTTCCAGTATTGATTCTTAAACTTTGTTCTTTTACTGAATTTTCATTTATCTGTTGGTTCAGCAGCATCCAAAAGTCGATACTGTCACAGAGAATGATAATACATTTCCTGAGACTAAGACTATTGCCGCGGAAAATGGCTACCTTTCAGAAACTCAGGATAAAGGTGCTGTGTCTGAATGTCTTGGTGTGGTCAGTGTATATGATCAGTGGGTTGCACCCCCAGTATCTGGCACTCGTCCGAAAGGACGATATGAGGTATTGGTACTTCATTTTTTCCTTATTTTCTCCACATAAATTGGTTTTTGTATTCTCTGTTTAGTTTGTGAACTGAGCCTGATTATATCCACAGCATGGAGCTGCAGTTATAGATGATAAGATGTATGTTTTTGGTGGAAACCACAATGGACGCTACTTAAATGATCTCCAGGTATTGGGATTACGATGCTAATACTCAGATGTCATATACTCACGCCTTAGCGTTGAAGTCTTTAGAATACCACAGTTCAGATAGTTTAGGCTTCCATTTGTCTGCTATATTCAACATATGAAGAACACTTTCAGTATTTTGCAGTAGCAATTTGAGCTTAACTTTTAATGTATAGAAAATTTGAGAATCCGTTTTACTCCGTGTCACGTCATTGGAATTCCAGTTATATTAGCTACATCGACTTGTGGGGGAGATCTTTGCATTCTTCAAATCCTTCTCTCTTTGCTTTGAGGTTGCTGAAGACATCAGTATTGTGGACATTGTAGGTTCTGGACTTGAGAAGTTGGAAATGGTCTAAGGTTGAAGTTCAAGCAGGAAATGAGGGTGCAATAACTACATGCGCTGGCCATTCCTTGGTTAGTTTGAAAATTGTTTGTTAGGTTATCCAATGAAAAGCACATTTATAACCATAACGACTTGCACATTATATTAACATGATTTACCATCTCATGGAAATTCTAGACTGGATGCTTTGCTAATATCATGTTATTACTTCACATTTTTCCTTGTAGATACCATGGGACAGGAATAAGCTTCTTTCAGTAGCTGGACATACAAAGGATCCTTCTGAAACTTTACAAGGTTGAAATTGTGCCTCTTTTGATTTCACAACGTTGCTTTTAGTTTCAACTTTTTTAGAATATTATTTACGTGGGCATTGAGATCGTGGAGCGTGGTGATTTGTCATGGTTCCCATTGCAAGTTATGGGACTTGAATCCCACGTCGAAAGTATGGGTTTCAGTGTGTGGTTTATATAGACTTGCGATCTCAAACTTCAATAGTTAGCTTTTGAGGTATGGTTCTCCCAAGTTCTATAATAATTGTAATGCTGAAGTGCAAAGAAATCACAGTCTTTTTATGGATGCTGACATGCTGTCATTCTTCATAGGTGGATTTTGAACTCAAATATGTCTATGGTTCTTATGTGGTGCATTTTTAACGTAAACATATAGAGACTCTTAGTTGCTAAGTATTTAAATTTGGTAGTTAGATATGAAAAGCAATTTGCATAAGTTTTGAAATTTGCTAATTGCTCTCACTCTTTTGCAAAGTTGAAAGAATACAGTTATTTTCGATATAAAGTTTTTTTTTTTTCCACATAATGAATAATTAGCCTCCGTTTGGGAAGAATTTATATCAAAACCACAAGTATTATCCACTTATTTGTTACTTATTTCTATCTATTTATAAATTCTTGCCAAACGGAGGCTTAATGGATTTTACTTAATTACATTCCAGACAAGACTGATCTTAATTAAGTTTTGCTTCTCAATACCTAACTAAATTATTATGACAGTAAAGGTGTTTGATCTACAAACTCGTACCTGGTCAACCTTGAAGACTTATGGAAAGCCACCGGTAACATTTTTTTCCATGACAATTTTTAGAATTCATTGTAATGCTTTCGAGTTTCAACTTCATTGTCTATATATCTGTCATGGAAGTTAGCATTTTCTTCATATCATTTCAATATCCAACAGCTACTTCAAATTGCAAACTATCCGAGCTAATCAGTTTAAAAATCTGAAAATCTAGCATTCTTTGCTATTTGGATGTTAGATTCTAGTCCAAATCTTTTACAACTACTCTCTGGTCAGTGGTCAATTTACCAGAACTTTTACTAGTCAATCATGTTTATGCTTTTTATCATTTGAAAATAATTTTAATGAGAGATGTTTTGAAATGCTTTTACTTGATGCGAAGATATTATGCTGTCATAAATTTCTAATGTTTTGTTTATTCCTTCTAGGTTTCTCGTGGAGGGCAGTCAGTGACCCCTGTGGGCTCAACCCTAGTCATATTTGGTGGACAAGATGCAAAGAGATCTCTTATGAATGATTTGCATATTTTGGACTTAGAAACAATGACATGGGACGAAATTGACACATTGTAAGTTCTTTTTTGTTTGCTTTTATTTTAAAGCCACTGAGCTAGTTATTTTTTGGGGGATATTTTATTTTCAAGGTTGAGTTTGTGAACAACATGCTGATTTTGGTGCTCATATAACTGTTTTCATCTGCACCACCCATGCTTATTAGTCTTGGAAAACCGTTATGGCACATCAAATGATTAAATCAACATTTGTCTCTTCCTATCATTTGATCGAGAAGAATTTAGCTCGTGTCACATTCTTTCACGTGATAAGTTTACTTATGTATTTGTTATGGTCATATCTGTAATTTTTCAGGGGAGCACCTCCTTCTCCAAGGTCTGATCATACTGCTGCAGTACGTGGAGATCGATACCTTCTAATCTTTGGTGGGGGTTCACATGCAACCTGCTTCAATGATCTTCACATTCTTGATCTGCAAACCGTGAGATCAAAATTTCATTCCATTGGTTGCTTTTTAAGTTTTAACTTCTCATTGCTCAAACTATATAAATTTCATTGTGTTTCTATCATGTTTTGATTCCATAGATGGAATGGTCCAGACCTACTCAACAGGGTGAGATACCAAGTCCTCGTGCTGGTCATGCTGGTTTCACAGTTGGAGAGAATTGGTTCCTTGTCGGTGGTGGTGACAATAAGAGTGGTATGGATTTGATACCTTAGTTATTTAACTTTGAAAATGATTTCTTGCCATCTTTTTACGTTGAGACTTCTTGTTTATGCACTTTGCATGAGCCTTCGTATGTACTAAGAGAGTCGTGAGCTGAAAACTTTAAGAATTATCTCGCAGTGTACGCATATTGATAACATCCTTGTTAGTTTCAACTTCTGAACGGCACTAATTCTCTTGTATTAATTGTGGTAGTTATGATATAATCTTGATACAAATGAACAAGATCTTCAAATATAGCTTTGCTTTGATAACCGTGGGTCTTTTGAGAGCCATGCCTTTAATGAACTACGGGACAATGGATCTGCACAAAGTCCTAGTCTTGTTTGTAGCTTCTATAAATTAATTATAGCTTAAAAAAAGAAGATCCAATCCCAGATCATATCCAACTGTGAAATAATGATGAAAGGTTTTAAGGACACAGCAAGTGTATGGTAGAGAGATCAATCGAACGGTACGGCATGAAGTGGTTTTTCTTAAGTTCAAACTCGTATTTTTCGGCTTATCACAATGAGGCTTTATCAATGCATGATTTGTGTGAATTTTTTATTTTTAAAATACAACAGGATCAGAAGTGCAATGCATCTGGCCTGAAGGAGAGAAAAACTTAAAGTTAGGTATGGAAAGAAAGGAAAATAGGAGTATTGTGGTAGAGTAACCCCACCTCCAATTACCTCTGGACATTTCCTAATGTGTTCCATTTTGAACTGATTTCCCCCACATAAAATTACTGCTGGCTTCTCCAAGTGCTAAGAGGGTTAGCCTTGGGCAACAATGAGATTGTTTAATTCCTGGTTCCGAGTTGCAGAATCAACCTTCTTGCTTGAAGGGGGTGAGGCTGCATCGTTCCTAGGCTCCGCAGAGTCAGGAACCTTGCGCACTTGGTATTTCCTTTTAGTGAATTCTCCACGTGTCATTACCACAGGCATGTCTACTTCTTACTTATATTTGCTTATGTTTTTGTTATCAATTAAAATTCACAAAAGATTAATGGCGAACCCATACCTCTACCAGCGAACGTTTTCAAAGCCAACCAAATCATGTGCGCTACATGACAAAGTAAGTAAGCATTTGTAATGCGAGGCCCTATAATCAACCTTGAAGCATAAGCAACAAATAAAAATATTTTAACTGGTTTCACCAGCTATTCCACATCAGCAATAACCATTTTCAAAGCACACGTGAATTAAGTATAAACAAGTATGACTTCATAGTCAATGAATGAAGAGCACATGGATTATGAATAAAACGTGAGAAGATAACAGATTGAGTTAAGAGTCAACTAATCAATGACTGTCCTGTGTCACTAGCAAAAAAGACTTAATTACTCCAATGCCTCATTAGAAATCTATATATAGGCGTATTATGGAACAAAGAAAGGCATGCAAATTTGAGTATCCTCCTTTCAAATAGTCATTTCTCTTCTTACTCCTTGAGCATAGAATCACTGAGTTTAGGAGAAGAAAATCCTGGTTAGATGAGAGGAATTTGTTGATTATAATTTCAAGGTCAACAATTTCCATTTTTCTTAAGTTTTCATTTTTTCTTGATTTATTCTTGTATTTAGAAATTTATAAAAGGTTGCTCTAGCTTTTCCTCCAAAAGTGTTCGTTCTCAGATGTCCATTAATGTACAGACTTGTTATTACTTCGATAATTTTTATCTGCTACTACTGCTCCAAATTGGCTGTTGTTTGAGTGATTATCAGTTATTGAGTGTTAATTCATTGATAGCCTACTTTTTGCAATATTTGAGAAAATACACGAACTACCTGTATCCATTGTTGCTCCTAAATCACANTGTTTTTTGAGTGATTATCAGTTATTGAGTGTTAATTCATTGATAGCCTACTTTTTGCAATATTTGAGAAAATAGACGAGCTACCTGTATCCATTGTTGCGCCTAAATCACATGTGCTACTTGTTAGATCTATCTTATTTTTTTTCAATCTTTTGTAGGTGTCTCTGAAAATGTTGTCCTTAACATGTCCACACTGGTCTGGTCAGTTATAACTACAGTTCGAGGACTAGTTCCTCTTGCTAGTGAGGTATTTGACATTCTATTAAAATTAAACAGTGACAATATCTGCTCAATCTTATATGCACATGATATGCTAATAGTCTAATTGTGTGTCATAGTCAGATGTAGTTATATGATTAGATTGTTGATAATTGCTCCATCATGCTGTTGCAAGAGGGTGATTATGTAAGAACAGTAGAAGTCTTCTCCTCAGTGATCCTGCGAGAGTCTCAACATATCTACCATTGATAGAGGGATGAGCTTGGTATAAGGGGATAATGATAAGCATATGATAAAATCTGGAATGTTTGAGGCTGCATTAATCTCCAATAAGGAAACCCCGGAAGATGTACAACTATATATGTTGTTTGATAGCACAGTTGTAACATTCTTGCAGACTTTCTGATTCAGCTGCAGTTAATGTTTGATTGGGTGATCTTTTATAATATAATTGTAGTAAAAACTTATTTTGTTGAATCGGAATAACTGTGGCCACATAGGTATATACAGTAGTAAGTATATTCTAGGAAACTATATATTATGTCTAGGCATCACTTTAGGGTGAGTGACAAAGTCTGCCAAATCTCTGTTGGAATAGTTCTAATGGTTAATATAAAACAGAGAGAATAAAATATTCTAAGATTATATAACTAATATGGCAGAAATCCAACACTCCCCTCAAGGTGGCTTGACAATATTTTTCTTTCCTAGCTTGTTGATCTTGTGTGCTGCCTTGACATCATTCTCATAACATCCTTTTGTGAAGACTTCAATCAAGTCTTAAGAGTCCTATTGACACATTCAAATATTAGTTGTTCTGTTGNGACAATATTTTTCTTTCCTAGCTTGCGTAGAATGGACTTAATAGAGGAGTCTCTTTTCTGAGGATATTGGCAACTTGATTCCTCGAACCAATATAAAGAATACAAATCTCTCCCCATTTCCAGTTTTGTAATGAACTGTTGGTCAATTTCACCGTGTTTTGTTCGATCATGGTGGATAGGATTGTGTGCTATGTTTGTTGCAGATTTATTGTCACATTAGCATCATAAGACCTTCTAACTTTGTTCCTAATCTGACAAAAGATCTTTATCTATAGAACTTCACATATTGCTTGTGAATAGATCTAAATTTAGCTTTAACGATTTTTTCTTGCTCCTCCATATCACAAGATTACCTCCATCCAGTGTACAATACCCACTAGTGGACACCTTCGATGAGTGATAGCCCCAGCCCAGTTTGTATCAGTATATGC